ATATATATAAAGTGATCTTAACTTATTATTGTGTTTCAGCACTTAGTTTGGTGTCCTGAGAAGCTAATGTTAAACATTCTGGCCCACATTCACTACATACCTGACCACTGGAAAGGTCGTGCACACATGTACAAGGTCCGGGATGAGTTTGCCCAACTGTTTCAGTACAAAGCAGTATGTTATTTACTTATGTATAATAAACTCTATAGCTTCAAATTCGGTGACTAGGAACCCACTTTGAGACTAATAATGGCTGGAGACCCATTCAAGCCGTCTCCAGCCATTATTAAATTCTATAGCTGTATGTGGTTACAAAAGTGTATTTTAAACTGTTTTTTACATGAATATTTGAATACTTTTTAAGGATATAATTCAGATTTGAGGTTTGTTTTTGTTGAATTGAAGGACGATTATTGTGTTACTCAAATATTTTAATACATTTTTGCTAAAAAAGAAAAGTGCATTTTAGTTAATATCTTAATAATATTCTTGAATTGTGTTACATTTTGTAATGAATAAAACATGGATTTTTATCTAAGATACTCATAAAAAATATGTAAAATACTATTGATTTGATATTGACAGTTTTAGAACATGGTTGAAACTTGAGTCTTTCAGTACTGAACTTTAGAAATCAGTTGCTGTTTTTAAGTAATGTCAGCCAGTTACAGTAATTTTTTAAGTTGTTTATTATTAAGCAGTCAAAACTTTTGAATCCATGATAAATGTGTTAACGTGATGTTAATATACGTAATTTTCACACATTATTTACCAAGTTCAATTTTTATTCTGTAAATTCTGATATTAACTGAAATCTTACAAACAGCCTCTTCCTCAGTGTAGAAATCAGTCTCATTTCAAGTCTAAAGTTTGTTGTCAGATGAAACATTTCTGTTCTACTAGTAATAATTACCTAACTATTGTTTCATTTCATGATATGTATTTTATAAGTAATAGTTTTGTATGAAGATATTTTCAATTAATACTGAATTAGCTGTAAATTTACAATATAAGGTTTTTGTCTAGAGTATCGGTTTTTTTATTTATAAAGATGGTATATTGCCTATGGTTATTTATAAAGTCACTTGCGATTAGTCCAGTGATTATTGTGTGGGACTGGAGATAAGGATCTGTGTCCTGTTACCATCAACAAAAAAATCATGCTTTGCACTTTGGGGCCTTGGGTGCATTACAAAAGTAATGGTCAAATCCCACTATTTAGTCTCACAAGAGTTGGCAGTGGTTGGTGTTGTTTATATGTCTTCCCTCTAATTTGTCTTTTAAAAAATAAGGATGGTTAGCACAGATAGCCTTTGTGTAGCTTTGAGGGAAATCCAACAGACAAACACATTATCTGGAGTATTATTTTATGTAGAAAGATGGTGTTTCCTGTGATTAACTAAAAAAATCACTATATAAGATTTTATCTGGATTATTGGTTTACTTGTAAATATGGTATAATAGCTAAGATTAGCTTTAAAGTCACTATATAAGATTTTATCTGGATTATTGGTTTACTTGTAAATATGGTATAATAGCTAAGATTAGCTTTAAAGTTACTATATAAGATTTTATCTACATCATTTGTAAAGATGATTTATTGCCTATAAGTAACTACAAAGTCACTATGTAAGGTTTTGTCTGGATGATGAATTTTTCATTTGTAAAGATAACACAGGATGTCTGAAAATTATGTAACACAAACTGAAACCATGAAAAGACAATAACAGCTGTGAATTAGTGGCTTGTAATGGATGAAGTTTCTTGTATAATACATGCATAGTCACTAAAAATGTCATTAGGAAACATGGTGACATTTCAAGAGAAGACTGTGTGTCATGTGGTTAGTAGAGATGAAATTGGCTATTTCTGTATAATGACAATATTGTAGAATGTGTAGAAAAGACCCACATGTTAAGAATTCTATCAAGAAGTGGTACTGACAACAGTTTCACTAGACTTCGCTTCTTTGGGGTTATGTGAACTACATTGTCTACAGGACAAAGGTGACCAATCTGGGGACACTACATAAATTAAACACCAATGCAATAGCTACTGTGATGCTCAATATGATTACTAACATGTGAATGAAAATTAAATATTGTCTTGATATCTAGAGAGCCACAAATAGAGCACATTTGAAGGTGTACTGATGGCAAATTATATGTGTAAAAAAAACTACATAGATGTGCCCTTCATCCACCCCACGAACTGTAAGTTGGTAACTGTTATTGTTCTTTTTGTGGTTTAAATTTGTAATAGATCACATGGGTTTTTGACACCCCGTATATTGCCTATTATTACTTGCCCTTTAAGCCAGTGTTTCACATTCACATTTCATATTATTTGATATATATTTTTGTGAACCAGGTTTTTTTTTCACATATTTATTTTCGAAGTGACAGCTCGCTGAACAAAACAAATATTAATAGAACTTATTATCAAAACAAAATTCTAAATCTGAATGTTTGTTATAACTTATTTTGTAATTGAAAAAAGAGTAGAGATCAGATATAATTTTAAAAACTTAATGATGTCATTTTCTCTCATAAAAACAAGAGATATCTGGCTGTAAAGTGTTTAAGTGATTTTAATTATTTATCCTTACGGTCTTTACATTTGAAATTTTAGTAAACATGTTGTGTGATTATGTGTTCTTGTAATGACTTCTTGTGGTCGATCAGCTTGAAATTATTTACATGAAGAAAATAACCTGAATCAAATGTCCATAAGGATGGGCTATCATGCTCAAGTATTCATATTACATAGCAGTGACTTGAAGGTTAACAGTAAGGTTAGTAAAAATTATGAAAAATGTACACACTATGTTTTATTGTAATTTATCATTAAAAAAAAAGTAATATTATTTTTCATATGGTATCTGTAGGCTTACCTGATTGAAGAATTATTAAGTCCTATCATTACACCGTTTATTCTGTGTTTCTACTTGAGACATCGAGCCATGGACATTGTAGACTTCTATAGAAACTTTACTGTTGATGTGGTTGGGGTTGGCGATGTCTGTTCCTTTGCACAGATGGATGTGCGACGACATGGACATCCTTATGTACGTTTGTTGTATCATTGAATTAAATTATTTTACAGATCTCAACTTGAAGGTAATGTTTATGTTACCAGTAAATGAAAATGTGTGACTACATATCATTTCCTTGTTATGATAGATTATTATCTTGTAGTTATTTTTAAATTTGTATAGGTCATTGCTTTTTATAAATGTAAAGACCTGAATATTAAGATGTAAATCAGTATTCTATAAAATAATGCAGAGGTGTTTATATATTGTTTTTCATATGTTTTTTTCAAAATATCTTTTGAAACTTGTGCTATTTATAGGTTCATCCATCTCTGCATACAAATATGCCAAGTGAGTGTGATCAAGGCCATCATATATCTATTATAAGTTAAGACATTTTCTTCCACTTCTAGATTCATAACAATGCACCGTGTCCAGTGGTAAAAACAGTAACATACAGATATGCCAAGTGAGTGTGATCAGGGCCATCATATATCTATTATAAGTTAAGACATTTTCTTCCACTTCTAGATTCATAACAATGCACCATTTACTGTTTTTACCACTGGACACTAAAGAATACATACTTTGTACATAAATAGATTGAGGGAAACTAGAACTAAACTTTTACTTGATAAAATTTTTTCAAAAGTAAGTCTGTAGTAAAGTAAAAACAAACAATACTATTTGGTAATACAGTTTACAAATCTGAAGCACTGCTTAGTCTAATAAAATAAGACTTGTATGTTTTTTAATATTTTGGGTATTCAGTGGAAGAAAGAGAGAAACAAAAATTGTCAGATTGTATTTCTCATTTTGTTTGTCTGTTGTGGACAAACCATTACCCAATATTTTTTTTAGGTTAAGATATTTCAACATGCCAGTGAAATATGGTCTTAGTTTATTATTTTCACTTCGGGCATGTATTTATTTTTATTATCTTGTAGACTGTTGTATAACTGTTTTCAGTTTGGGTGCGTAGGTGTTTTGTTTTCCTGTCAACTGATATATACTTATTTGAGCTTAGGTTTGTAGCTTTCTGTTGTCCTTTCAACTTGTATACTTATTTGGGTTTGAATGTGTAGTTTTTTTATTATTGTGTTGACTAATATACTGAAAGGTATTCCTTTCTAAGTAGTGTTTGTGAAATAGCACAAAGTTAGGATTTTAAAAGTATCTTTATAGTTCCAAATTTCATGTGGAAAATACAAATATTTTTTTGCAGTGGATGAGTGATGGACAAACCCAGGCTAATCAGTATGAGCAGGCAGAAAATGGAAAAACAGAACTGTCACTAATGCATTTTACTGTAAGTTCTGGTCATATTTTTTTTGCCAATACAGGTTGTGTTACACTTCTAATTTAAAGAAATCTCTTCATAATTTAAAAGTTAACTTTTTGCATCAACATATAACGTAAGTAGACTTTCACAAGGTGCAACCTTTAAATAATATAGCTTTCTTTTAACTATATATATATATATAAAAGGAAATTTGAAGAACCATGTGATTTATACCAACAAAAGTTTACTGAAACTTATCTTTTTTTAGTGCATGCCATAAAATTCTATTTAAATCCACTTGTAAATCCATTTCATACAGTTTATTGATAATGATAAGTTTAGATAATAACGTGAGGGTTAAAACAGTCCACTGAACATCCTTTTATAAAGAAAGGTGAGGATAAGTGCTAACATGAGCACTTGTAAATCCATTTCATACTATTTGATATAGAAAACTAAGATTTGTATTTCTCAGTTAGTTTCTCATGAAGCAACATAACAGATATATTATTAATTTTTTTATACTGCTGGATAGGCAATAGTGCATTAATCATGAGGGTAAAAATCATAAAATAAAAACATTTGATGTTATATAAATGAATCATCTACATTAATTTTTAATTTTGATGTAACTGAATAAACAAACTTGTTTATAAATTTACTTGCACTAAACAAGCTTCAGAAAATCATAAATAACCTTTGTGTACCACAAATTTGATGGTGTATGAAAGAGGTTTAGGTTGTGGGTAATGATTAATTTTGGGTAGCATACAAATTTTATCCATCTGCAGTGGTTTGTAGTTAACATCGAAACAATAACTGGATGAGTCTCTTTTTTTTTTACACTAGTAAAATAAAACAGTAATGTTAAAAACTTTGGATTGTGAATTTGTTGTGAATATTTTGGAACCCATTGATTATGTTGTTATTCATGTTAGTGGAAAGTTCCCAGTTTTGTTTTTACCATAAATGTCTTAGAGGGATAAAAAAGACTAAATTTATTCTATCCTTCTATCTGTGAAGTGACTAGTTACAAATTCATAAAATCCTTTGTTTCCTGGTTAGGGTGCTCGACTCACAATCTGTGGTTTACGAGTTCACATCCTTGTTGCCGAACGTGCTCGCCCTTTCAGCTGTGGGGGCATTACAATATGACAGTCAATCCCACTATTCATTGGTAAAAAAGTAGCTCAAGAGTTGGTGATGGGTGGTGTTAACTAGCTGATTTCCCTCTAGTCTATCACTGCTAAATTAGGAACAGCTATTGCAGACAGCCCTCGTGTAGTTTTACATGAAATTCAAAACAAAACAAAGCTTTGTTTCTTCTAACTAAAGTTGTACTGCTTATAATTTATTGACCTTACCAGAAGAAACTCTGACAATCGTATATAATTTGGGCTGTCATCTGATATAGCTATGTAGTGGATCTTTAACTGGATTCTGTTTGGATTGACAGACTTAAATTTTAGTTCACTTGTGTAAGATAACAGTAGATGTTACTCAAACATTCCAGAAATACTTCAAACAGGCTGGAATTACAAATGCTCACTTCAGTGAAGCATTACATTAAGTAGTGACACATATCTGTTAACCTTGTAACAGATAATTATGAAGAATAATTAACAAATTTATTTTACAGCTATATGCTTAGTAATATGCACTTTTATACTTTTGGGGATTATAGCATTTACTCACACCTGCTCTCAAACGTTAAGCAGGTCTTGGGCATTTTCCAGTTTGGTATATATGTATAAGATGACTTTTGCATGTTTAGTAATGGGAAGAATTTCTCTCAGTTAAGATTCGTTTACCTACATCTTTCCTTTGCCATTACATCACTAGTGTGCTGGACTGTAGATTCGAGGTTTCATACTATAGGGTCTTGAATTTGTTAGAAGAGTGACAGTTAAATCACACTATTTGATTATAGTAGCCTACAATTTGGCAGTGGTTGGTGTTGACTAGTTGCCTTTTTCTCTAATGTATCTCTTCAAAGTTAGGAATAACTACCACTGATCGCCCTCGAGCAATTTTGAGCAAAATTTAGCAAACAAACAAACCACTACACCACTCTTTATGGTGTTTTACTGTATAACACAGAGATAACAAAAAACATTCAATGAAAAAACTAGTTTGAGTTTGTTTGTTTTTTATGTTATTGTCAGTAAAAGGTTATTATGAGATGTTTTTTGTTTCTGCTCTTTAGCTAACCAATCCCAACTGGATCCCTCCTGAACAATCTCACATGTTCTTGAATAATCTGAAAGAATTAGGTAAGGATCTTACTTAATCATTTCACTTAGATTGTTTTACTTTCCATCTCCTTGCTTGTTTTGGAAATTCAATTTCTGTGTATATTTTATATTTTTTCTGTTTATCACAAAAATCAACCAGTTTTAAACAGATGTTTGAGTCTAGCAAAATTTGTTCCTTTTGTAATAAACGCTAAAGAAAAATCTGATACTTAAATCACTTGCAGTATTGATGTTTCTTGGGAAAGAAAAATGTTTGTTGCTTATCATAGTCTATAGGAAAAAATGTGTGATTCACACTGGTCAGTATCTAAATATAGTGTTTTTTTTTTTAACATTGCAAACAGTTCTTTAATCATACAAGTTCATAAAGAATCTGCCTGAAGTTTTCTACTGTATTTCCTAAATTCTTTTGATAAAACTAATATTTATGTTTGAAATGGGACAATAGCACTATCTTGTTTTTCAACCTTTAATGCTTTTTGAGTGTCTTTAATACTGTAAATTATTTACTATTCGCGTCGAATTAACTTTTGCTATTTTTTATGTTACGTACATTTCCATGAACAATAATTCCAGCAAAACAAAAAGCTGGTTGATCACTTTGCTGTTTGGCCGGACCTTCTTTATCCAATCTCTTACCAATATGTTACACTTCTCTCCAAGGAGTAGAGGCAGGCCACTTGGTTTCTACAGTAGGCATATGACCCTCTTTGGGGAGGATTGGTCAATTTTGTCTATTTCCACAAAGACATTTTGAGATGAGTACGCAATGAGATTGTGACTGTTCATTGTTTGATATTGCTAAGAAAATTGAAAATAATTTTATACCTGCCAAGCCATTTGAGTAACTGTTCTCAATATGCTACATATAATAACTTGTAATCTGGAAACAGCAAACAATGAGGAAATGTAAGCTATAGTCAATTAAGTACCTGTAGCACCTGCAGTAACACACCCAGACAAGTTCGTTGCTTTTAATAGGTGGATTACCAACACGTCAGTTCAGTTGCACAGCATGATTGCAAAGGCTTATAGTGTGAAAAATGTTGCTTAGAAAAACAGAATGATGTCTAAAAACTTTTTTTTCTAAATTTATGTAATGGAATATTGATGCATTTTTAATTCAATTTTTTTGCACAAGTTAAAACCCGCGAAACAAGTTTCAATCTAAGACTGCAAAAGATAATTCCTCCAAATATTAGTTTGTCAAGAAATTAATGTTGCATTTTGGAACACTTTCATTAACCACCCCCTAAAATGCGTCACACCTAAACATCCCGTTAGTGTAGCCTATATAATGGGTAAAGTTTAATATACTCTACTCCCTTATAGTGATGGCACACGACAAGACGTACATTCGACATGTAATGCTGTTTGAATACAACAATGGAAACAATGCCTCTGTAGCCACAAAGAATATCAAAGAAGTTTATGGAAATGTTTTTAATGTTCTTAAGTATCAACAATGGTTCAGCAAATTTCGTTCAGGTTACTTTAACCTTAAAAACTGTGATGGCAGGGGCCAACATGTTTCAATTGATATTGATGCTCTGAAGACGCTTGTTGAGTCTAACCCAAGGCAACACACTCATGAAATGGCCCTGAAATTGCATTTCTCTCATTAAATAACACATAAACATCCAAGAAATATTCGAAACTCCATAAAGAAGGTGTTTGGGTGCTTCACGAACTCTCCGATGATCATCGTATCCAAGTATGAACGTTGCTTCTTCTCTTCTGATAGGTAACACGCGTGAACCATTTTTGGACAGAATTCTAATCGGTGATGAAAATTGGATTCTCTATGCGAATGTTAAATGCCAAAAACAATGGCTCAGTCCCAGACAAAAAACACTTCCAACCCCAAAACCTGTACTCCATCTGCAGAAAGTGATGCTTTGCATTTGGTGGGACATCAAAGGAGTAATTCATTTCAAATTCCTCAATCCACAGTGAACTGTCTATGCAGAGATTTATGGTCAACAACTTAAATG